TAAACGGTTGATTGAATGTAAATGGCATTTATCAGAAGCTTAAAAAAATTAAATGATGCACAAATTAAAAAAAATTCAAATTTAATTAAAAAAAAATATTGCAAAAAGCTCATTAAAAAGTGATAAGATTACGGACTTAGTTTGCTCGGTAAGTGGTTACTGAACCTTAGAGAGATTCTAATCATAGAACAAAATTTAGTTGAAACTAAAACGTTGAAAGAGAAACGTTGATATCAGTTAAAGCTTTAATTCAAGCAATTTTTTTTAACAAATAAAATATACAAAAATGGCAAAAGTAAGTGAATTTAAATACTTGATGAAGTGATCGAATATCCTAAATATCTTAAATGTTTAAATAAAATAAAAATATTTTATAAGTTCTATTATTATATAACAAACAATCTAATAATGCATAACTTAATATTAAAACTGGTGAACATCCAAAGCAGCAAAACATTTATTGTAATAATATAGCTAAGATGTGAACATATAAATATGTATATAAAAAAAGACAATGGAAAATAATTAGTTGAAATATTATTATTGAAATTTCCTTTAAATACATATAAATATAATCAATAAAGAAATTATATAAAAAGTACAGTACAAATTATTCAGGCCTATTCTGAATACTCCCAGGGAACAAAACTCTCTATTCCCACGCTGGAATCCCATTCATTTCAGAATTTGGTCTCGTTTCATTTTTGTATTGTTTTAAAAACAATAGTTAACACTTTAATTAGTGGAAAAAATCCGTATGAATAAAATAAATAAATACAAATTTAAATATTTTAAATTAACTTTTATTAAAATAATAATTTTATTAAAATATATTCGGAAAACTAATCAACTCTTGTGGATAAATAAAAAAATAAAACTTTGAAAATATTAAATTTATTGTAATAATGTTATTATAATACTAATTTTATTAAAATATCTGATCATTTTCAGTTACTAAACCATTTTCAATACTTTTTTAACTTGTCTCCCCAACAATTTGCTTGGGAAAGAATTTGTGCAAAATTGGGAAAAAAAACTCCCATTCCCATGCGATTCAAAATAGCAAAATTGGAAACAGGGAACAAAACTCCCATTCCCATGCTATTCAGAATAGGCCTGATTATGTGTACTTACACAAAAAAGTCAAGCTTCAAGTAACTAAATACTTACGATGTAATCTTGTTGCTTTATAATTACATATATATTATAGCAGTAAAAAGTATAACGAAGCCTTATAAGTTTATAAATGAAAAAAAGGTGATTAACTTATTTAGATCAGATTTAATAAAGTTTATCATTAGGAATTTGTACCTCACATAAATTTTTTATAAACAACACGGCAGCATATGTTCTATAAGTTAAAATTTCAGGTCGCGATAAGATTGTTGGAGTGGCATAAAATATAATTAATATATGTATATATATATATAAATATATAAATACATACATGTATGCAAATATTTATTTGTGTTTTTGTTTTAAAATTATTATATTTTTATCTCTAAATTTATTATTTTTTTTTCACACTTAAGCGTGTCGTTTATTCACGTGCTAAGAAAGAAGAACGTGAACAAAGTTCTTTGCCTCTATTAGAAATTGATTTTGTTTTTAAGAAATCGTACTATAAGTACAGTACAAAGCATAATAATAAAACAGTTATGAAAAATTGTTTTATTTTATATAAAATAATATAGTAATATATAAAAATATTACGTTCATATAATATAAAATTATATAATAAATTTAGTTGCACATGCAAAAATGTATAAGTTAGAAAAATTTTAATTAATAGTAAGTTGTATGGCTAAACATATAATATAAATTAATATATAAACATAATTTAAATTAACATAATAATATCATTAATCATTAATACATTAACAGGTAAATATTTAAAAATTAATTGTTAGTTTTACAACTTTGCCTTACAATATTTTCTGCTGATCTAATTATTTTCCAGAGAATTTTTTAATCTAGTCTCTGGCTAAGCATATAAACAAATAAAAACAATATACAGATATTAAACATTTTTCTAAATAAATTGATAGTGTTAAGTCACTTATAAATATTTTGTTTTATAAGCCTTGAAATGTAAACTTGATAAAAAAAGGTTACACGGAATGCTATGAGAAAGTTAAAGTTTTTGAGAATTAATTCATTTACTCGATTTCCATATGCACTTTGGTTCGTAGTAACAATGACTAAGCGGTTCGTTTACATTTTTTACGGATTGGATTCTTGAAATCACACAACGATTTAACTTAAACTTTTTATTTACATTACGCTCTGCCGGTCAATATATTCATTATTTAATAATAGTAGTAATAGATAACTCTGAAATATATACACTTATGACTCAAAGATAACAAGTGGAATGGTAGCGGGTATTTACTCGAGAGATATGCAAATTAGACGATTATACTGACTACATGATAGATGCAACGTATTTCTGTTTAAGATATAAATAAACAGAAAAGCAGCCATGTTAATACTAGTTAATCAAATTCACCCTGCGAGTGCACTGCCTTTAAAGACAATCAAACAACAATAAAAGTAATTGACACCAGAACAAAAAATACAAGTTAGTCCCATTCGCACTGCGAATGTCACTGTCTCTCTAGAAAATCAGGCCACCATAAAAGTAATAATTAGACTTAAACTACTTTATGGCTGTCTTACTTATGACAATGCTGCGCCATCCACTATTAAAAAACTCCGAACATATCAGTATTTTGTACTGAAACGTTGTCCAAAGCTCTATGATACATCAGAAATGTATGCAAAAGTATATCAAAGACAGAGCGCTGAAATTGTACGATTCTGTGGATGTGTACAGTAATTCAGAATTGCACTATCCCAAATCTAATGTAATATATATATTCCGTCAGGCAGATATGTTGGGCTTCAAAGTTTACTGCTATAAAATCATCCGAGTACCTTATTATGAGAATTCAAGAATTATTACAATGCATCATCTAAATAATAACAGACACTATTGAAGTAAAAGTGCTGTAGATATTACCTCGCGTTTGATCAGGCAAAGAAAAAGAAGAAATAATAAGATGTCACATGAACATTGAATGTCAAAAAGTCTTTCTATGGTGATTAACTGTGATTTACATAAGAATATTGAAAGAAATGAGATAGCAGACGAGATGGCCAGAAGACGTTCTAAAATGGATATATTTAAAAACGATGACACGATGCAAATATCGCTGTATGAACGGTTTAGAGTCATCGAAAAATTCCACATCACAGAGACAAATGACATGAATTAAGCTTTTCATAGCTAATTAGGTCAAAAGATCTCTATGGTTTAGATTAAACAGAAATAAAACAAAAAGTTTTTGAACTTCAGCAAACCTGTAGTTCCTTTACTTACTGGAGTACTAACGAACATACTGGAGTACGATGGCGTGCTTGATTATACCATATATATATATATAAATTTATTTTTTTGATTTAGACCACAAACTTTTTATTATATTTAAAGACTTTTATGGATATATTAATAACTATTACAAACACTACATTTCTTTCAGGTTACGGAAACTAAACCTAAACCTCGACATATATTACAACTAACATCTGAGGAGAAGCGAAAGTTTCTAAACTCATTCGATAATGTATTTTCCGACATTGATGGTAATAAATAAAATCCTTAAAATACTTGTTATATGATATATTAATAATTAATATATTAATAGGGGTCGTGTGGGATTTGGAAACAGGTATACCAGGATCAGCCGATGGATTTGAAGCCATTAGAAAAGCTGGCAAAAAATTAGATTTCATAACGAATAATAGTGTTCGCCCACTAAAAAGTTATGAAAAACGATTCAAAGATATGAACTTGGATATAGATGTGGTAAATAACTTAATATATAAATAATATCACTAATTTCAATAAAATATGTGTTAACAATTATTATATATTTTAAGTCTGAAGTAATAAATCCTGCTAAGAGTGTTGTGGAATATTTAAAAGATATTAAATTCAATGGTCTTATTTACGTGATAGCGGGAACAACGTTTAAGAATTATTTTAAAGATGCTGGACTTAAATATATTGATGGAGTAAGTATTTGACTTAAAATGTATAAATTATACAAACAATAACATATATCTCTTATTTTTTTAGCCAAATGAAATAATTCAAGAATCCGCAGTAGAAGTTCTGACACATGCTTTTGATCGCCAAAATGTAGATGCGGTAGTAATCGACGTAGATTTTAATATGTCTTCCCTTAAGTTGATAAAGGCACATGTTTATTTAAAAAATCCGAAATGCTTACTAATCGCGGGTGCAACTGATTTGTATTTACCAGTTACAAAAGAATGGAATATATTGGGCCCTGGTCATTTTGCTAATATATTAGATGTATCTACTAAACAGAATATGATCACTTTGGGCAAACCTGGCAAGGCCTTAGCTGATAAAATAATAAAGCAATACAAGATCACAAATCCTAAGCGTACCCTTATGATTGGTGATATGTTACAACAAGATATAGGCTTTGGAAAATTATGCGGATTTCAAACTTTACTCGTTCTTAGTGGAGGTTGTTCGCTCAAAGAAATGGAGGAAGAAACCAATCAGAATCAAATACCGGACTACTACGCTGATTGTGTTGGAGACTTTATTAATTTTATGGATGATTTGAAAAAAGCTAATGTTTAAGACATGAACATATGTTTACATTTGCATATATGTTTAAGGTATATAGTACACTTCGACGTATTAGACAGGTTAAAAAAATATTTTGTATAACTGTTTATTGGGTATATTATATGATTTTTTATAAATTTATGATTTAAGTTCACATAAATCAGCTAGAGTGTTTGCTATAAAATCTGGCGTTTCATTTAGTGATAAATATTTGTTTAAGTCTGCAGATTTGGTACCACCGGTCAAGACCAGCAGAGTCTGAAAACCGCACATTTTGCCAAACTTAATATCGCTTGTTAAGCTGTCACCTATGAAGAGCGCACGTTTAGCATCCTGAAGACTGTAGTTACGTTTTAAAAGTTCACATAACTGCAATCCTGGCTTTCCTAGTATTGTGGCTTTACGTTTTGTTGACTCCTCAACAACACTTATAAATGGACCAGACCCTATAAATATATAAATATAATATATATTAATATATAATAACTATTACACAAACTCACCGATTACATCCATGCCACCAAATGGTATCAAAACATCCGCAGCGCCTCCTATAAAAAGACAATCTGGATTTTTAAGGTGCACATGTGCACGCATTAGTTTAGCTGCTGTCAAATTGAAATCTACGTCAATGATGACCGCCTTCACTGGGTCATTACAATAAATAGCCTCGCGTAAATCGTTTACTGATTCGGGTATAATACGTTCTTCCTGTTTCAATTTATAATTTCAAAATTTGAAGAGATTACGT